GACCCTTGGGGTAGCCTTTGGGAGGAAGAGGGGCGGAAAAAAAATGAAACCCTGGTGGTCAGGGCAAGTTGCTAGAAATTAGGAAGTATTGCATTGTCACAGCAATCCAGGGAGGGACTGCTGAGCTGATTTCCCTGTCTCAGACCCTACCCCCCACTCTGCAGTGGAAGACATTTACCTGCCACACAGATGTCAAAGTAATCATCAAATTCACTGCGAATGTGCTTAACCAGGTCAGCAGCATGGTTGAAACCATCTACTTCTTCCTCCCATTCCTCACCACCAGGATCTGAAAAGAGAACAAATCCACAGCTCTCTCCAACTGTTTGCTGGACTCAGATCTGCTACTTCAGTAAAAACCTGCTATCAAAAGGAAGACAAAGATGAAACCCCCAAGTCTGCAGTTTCTACCATGGACTGGTTTTGTCTACCCTTGAGCTGGAGGGACTAACAAAGGGCTCAGGTGAAATGCTCAGTCTCAACATTTAATTCCTGCAGAAGGAGCCTCTAAATCTTATTTCTCTGTTTTTACCCTGGAATTGAACACAACAGCAGCACAGGCTGAGCCCTGCACATCACAGGACTCACCTCCACGCAGTGCCATGATGTTCTTCAACCCAAGCCTCTTGGCCTTCTGCAGATGCCCCGTGATGTCATCCCTGGTCTGGTTGCAGCATGTCATGTGCAGGATGGTCTCCAGGCCACAGTAGTTGACTGCAGTGTTGGCAATAATCATGGAAGAGGTTTCCTTGTCAGATCCTGGGTCCCCTGCGGGGTGCCACGTCACATCAATGAAGAGCGGGCCACCTGCTCCCATGCGGTCAAACCTGTGGGTTTTAGAGCTGTGTCAGCCTACACCAGGTAGGCAAATCCCCTCCCTAGGCCTGGGGTATCTTGCTCACTGCTGGAATGCCAGCAACAGGCAGAGAGAGCTTGGGTGACAGCAGCAGGAGAGACCACAAAAGTGTTGCACTAAGAGTTAAGCAAGTGGCCAGTGTAAATAAGGAAAGCCATCCTTTAAGGCTCTCTGGGGAAGAGCTTCCAAGAGCTTCCAATCTCTTTGAAGAGGCAACTGAGGTGTTCTCTGTACAATACACTTCCTCCCTGCGTGTTCTGTTACACTGACATGGCTTCTGCTAGAGAGCAGTGCAAGTCCCATTCCTTTTGAGATGGGAGACCATGCTGCAACCCCCTGCTCCCAGCTTGAACTGTAGAGGCTACAAATATGAAAAGATGGAGCAGAACTCTGTTGTGTTCCCCAGTGTGCCTAAGAAAAGAGACAAGGGCTTGCTTAACTTGTCTCTCTCCTGCTCTAAGTTGGAACAGGCCCTTCTGTTTAACATATGGCATTGGCATAGAGCAGTTATAAAGAGAGTTACGAAACACCCTCTTCTCCTCCAGGTGAGTACATGGTGGCTCCTGAGGCTCCAGAAGAACTTATAGCTCCACTGAGAACTATCACTTTTCATTTAAAGTTTAGATGGGGACACCTATCTCAGAGGCTGAAACTTTAGTCCTCAGTAATGCAGAGGCACAAACCATAGCAGCTGGATGATTCTGAAAGCAAGGGGGAGTCTGTTCCAGAGACTTTGGCACACAGCCCTTCAAGGAGGATTCTCTGCTTTCAACAGGTACTTTTCTGCCCCAGCATCGTGCTTCAGCCCCAGAGCATGACAGTGGGGTTGCTCCAAATTCCCAGAGCGTGGGAGCAAGTAAACAGCCTGGCCCCTCAGTAATCCCAACACAGCACTTAACTCTTCAGGGCCTCCAAGGAAGACAAGTTACCTGGTGTCCATTACCCTCCTCAGCAGGAAAGGACAGCCCCATTACCTGCTTCGTCACCTGGAAGGGGAGACAGAGCATGGGGCAGAGCCTGCCTCATTAGCTATTCCCCAGCCCTCCACCACAGACACTCCTCTCCCACCCTGCAGCGCTCACCTGGAGATGAGGTTGACAGCACCATTGGCTGTACGTGGGGGGAAGAACTCCAGGGAGAACCACTTGTCCCCGGCCTCCTGCCGCCGGCGCATCTTCTCGCGCAGCCGCTCGTGCCGGTCGGCGTCGAGCACCGGGGTGGAGCAGCGCGAGTTGTCCTTGGAGCTCTCGCTCCCGCTGCTGCTGCCGCCATCTGACCTGGAGCTGGAGCTGGCACTGCAGCTCTGCTGGGTCTCATTGACCATGGTGGGAGCTCTGGAGAGGGGAGCAGAGGGAGCACGGTGGGTACAAGGGTCTCGGCATGGAGCAGTTACTGCTGGGCTGGGCAGATGATGATTAAATGAGCCCGTGTCAAGACCCAACATTCATCATCATCATCATCATCAAGGAGTCCCTTCTGCTAGCCCTCACTGTAAGCTGTAGTGAAAACACAATAAAAAGCATGTGTTCAGATAGTGCTGAGAGAAATAACACAGCAGTTGGCTTTGTGCCACTTTGATGCGGCTCTTCTGTGCCTGCTGGGTCAAATTTGGCTCTCAAAAGAGTCAGGTCAACGTCACTTTTGCCCTGACTACAACTCAGCAGGGCAGGATGCCCATATGAACCAGGTGATGACCTCTGTCACCTCATGGCCTTGGGCTGGGCATGCCAGCAGATTTTTTTTTTCTGTCTACAGCAGGTGCTTCTTGGACTGTTTCCATCCTCAGAATTTCCATTCTGTCTGTTCCCAAAAGTCAGTGCTGCTCTACACTGTAGGTAGGAGAGCCAGTGCTAATGGGGCAGGGACACAAGAATGCACAAATTATTCCTATGTCAGAAACAAAGGACAGAATCCCCTCTGATCAGGCCACCCCCAAAAACTGAGGCCTTTGTTTTCTTTGTTGGATCAGACAGCTGCATTTCCAACCACTGGCCTTTTCCATAAGACACCATCTCCACAGACAGCAGTCCCCTGGGCCAGCCCACTGCACCCACTCAGCTCTTTAGCAGATCCTCTGTTCCTTTCCTCACCAAGTGCGGCTGCTTGGAAACAAAGTCAGCAGAGACCATCCTCTTCTCCCTGCCTTGCGCAACACCAGCTGTGCTGGCCTGGCTTCACAGAAAGCAAAACAGCAACTCAGAGGTGCAAGTGGGTCTAGGATGGCCAACTCCACTTACCTCCCCACAGTGCTCCATCCTGTGCCTTTAAAATGAGGTAACGAGCACACAGAGTTACAGAAGAGCTGCCACAAAACTGGGATCTGCATTATTTGCTTAGGTACCTGCCAAAACTTTAAATTATCACTGGGAAGCAGCACGTCATCCAAGCATTATGTAACTTTGGAGCCTGTTTTGGAGGGAATGGTTGCTCAAGCCAGCACACATTCTCTGTCCTTATGTAAACTCCATCGTGGCTTTAGGTCAGCCAAGAGGACTTTGAACTTTTCTTCTACTGGTTACGCTTGAGTTGCCAATCAGGCAAAAGTCTTTGGGAGAAAGTCTGCTTTTACCACCTGAGGAACCTCTCCAGCTGGCAGGAGATGTGAGGAAGGAGCGCAGGCCTCCTGCTGCCAAGAGGAACCGGGAGCCTCAGATCTCTTGTGTACCAACACAGCGGCTGTGGCAAAAACAGCAGCTCAGACTTACTGACAACTGAAGCAAAAACAACCCGCTGCACAGGCACAGCCCTGACCAGGCTCTCCCAGAGGACTTTGCCTGACATCCACGTGCACTAATCTGGGAGAATTATTCCAAAGCGTGTGCTGGTGATCAAGCTGGCAGCTCAAAACCACGTGCTGTCAACTCCCAATATCTCACTCCTAGCAAGCATGGCACAGCACTGTAGGCAAATCAAAGGATGTCTGTTTTCCCACTAAAACCCATCACAAGGGGAGAGGGTTTGTGTATTAACGTCTCTATAGGATGAAAAAGGATCCTTATCTTGCTGGAAATACCGAATCACAAAGACAGGAGAAAGGTTCACTTAGATTCTGTCTACAGGCAGCATGTGGAGCAGTCTCTTCACTGTCAGATGCATCACAGACTTGCTGGCAGAAGCTTGCCAGTTATTGCAAAGAGAAACAAGATAAGCCTAAACAACAAAGCCAGCAGCAAAACAAAACAATCTTAAGCACCTCTCAGCACTCCTGCTCCTGTCTCTGCCGTGCTGCAGAGCTCAGAGACACCAGGATGCTCAGCATGGATGCACCTGTTGTGCTTGTATGATGCCGGTGCTATTCCAACTCCTCCCAGCCCTGAGCTGACACCCAGACATGCAGGGTGGAGACCTGCACTCCCCCAAAGCTCAGCTTTACCACGCGTGCTAAACTCACTGCACAGATGCACCGTTCACACGCTGCAAGGGGCTGCTCCGGGCCTCGCTGTCCCGGGCCGCGGCATCGGGCTGAGCCCTGCGAGGAGGTGAAGGGGCCCGCGGTTGGATCCACCGCCAGGACAGCGGGACAGCGGCCACGGGAAGGCCGGGCGGAGCAGCACCGGGGTCCGGTGTGCCGGGAGGTCCCTGCCGCGCTCGGGGCCAGGCGGGCATCCCGCTGCAGCCCGATGGCCGCTTCACCTCAGCTGACCCCGCCGGGCAGACCCGCAGCGGAGGAGGGCGGTGCTCCCCAGCGCTGGGGCAGCCGTCGGGTCCCCATCCCGGTCCCGCTCACCTGCGGCCGGTGCCGGGCGCTGCGCGGGCCGCCCGCCCGCCGCGCTTTAAGGGCGGCCGCGGCCGTGCGGGTCACGTGGGGGCCCGCGGGTGCCCTCACCCGACATGGCGCCGCGGGGGCGGGCCCGGACGGGGATGGGGCGGGACCAGACCGGGATGGGGCAGGAGCGGGAGCGGCAGCAGGAGCAGGAGCTGGAGCAGGAGCAGGAGCAGGAGCAGGAGCAGGAGCAGGAGCAGGAGCAGGAGCAGGACCAGGACCAGGAGCAGGAGCAGGCGGAGCCGGGCGGGACCGCGGGGGCGGGGCCGGACAGGGCTTTCGTGGGCGTGGCCAGACCGTGCTTCGGGGGCGCGGGCTCGGGGGGGGGGGGGCCAGCCGGGGGCGGGGCCAGCCGTGGGCGGGGCCGGCGCGCGCCGTGACGCGGGCGGGGCGGGCCCCGCGGCGAAGATGGCGCGGTGCGGGTGCGGGTGCGGGGCCGGGCTGTGCTGCTGCTGCTGCTGCGGCGAGCGGGAGAGCCGCACCCCCGAGGAGCTGGTACGGCCGCGGCCCCCGCGCCCTTCCCCCCGGCCGGCCCCGCGCCGCCCCCCGAACTCGTCCGTGCCGCCGGAGACCCCTCGCGCCGGGCCTCGGCGCGGCCCCGCCCCGCCCGGCGCTGGGAGCGCCTGAGGGCGGGCGGTGAGGGGGCGGGAGTGGGGCTGTGGTGCTGGGCCGGGTGCTTCGTCCCCGGTACCTCACCCCGCGCTCGGCCCAGCCCCTCAGGGATGCTCGGCCCGGCGCCTCAGCCCCTTCCCGCGCGTTTCACTGCCGGGCCCGGCACCTCACGCTGTCCCTGCCCCGCGCTCTTTGTGTGGGCCTCGTACCCCACCCCCGAGGCCGGTGCTGCCCCTCCCTCGTGCGGGACGGAGGTGCTGGCAGGGGCTGTCTCTGGCCCCAGCATTACAGGGCGCTGTGTCTGCAAACTGCTTGTCCTGTGCTCCCCTGGAACCTGTTGCTGTGAAGGGAAGTGGGATGTGGGGTAGGACTTTGCTGTGGGGAGCTCCTGTATAGAAGGGATATGGGGTGTTCTGGCTCTAAGGTAAGACCCTGTAGAGTTGCCCTAAAGTAGGTGATAGTTGGTAACCCACACTCTCAATTCACAGGTAACAGTGGTGTAGGCCTTCTGTAATTTTAGCCTTGCTGGCAGTGTTCATGAGTGCCTGTACCTGCGTCCGTTCCCCTCATGGTTTTCCTTTCCCACCTTTGTTTGTTTGTTTTGCAGACAATCCTTGGAGAAACTCATGAAGAGGAGGATGAGATCCTTCCCCGCAAAGACTATGAGGTGGGAAATTAACTGAGAGCAGCTTCTGAAATTAATGTGAAAAGAACTGCTGATGGGTTTCGATCTGTTTGAGTTTATGATGGGGCAGGTACTCAAAATGTATCTATCGTTGGGCTGCATTGGCATCAGTGGAAATACCAAGAGATGCTGTGCTTGCAAAGAACTGCTCCTCATTTCTGGGGTAAAGCCCTTTGAGCTTGAACAGCTGCTGTTCATGTCAGACTGTTGTTGGGAAAATCTGTTTTTAGAGTCTGCTGCATTGTTCCACTTCTTTAATATGAGATTTTCAGGCTCTAGTGCCCTTGTTTCCTTGTGACTCCAGAAAGCATCTGTAGCTACTTGGTCCCAGTTGCCTTCCTGCTGTCTCTGTTGTCATGCTGCCTCACAGCAGATCTTCCCATGCATCATATCCTGCTTATTACAGGAGATTTTTGGGTTTTCCATGGCTGTATGGTGGCTCTGAATGGGTGTCACCAACCAAACCTGTTACTGCTTGACTTGAAAAGGTGAAGATGTGGGTAGAACTAGTGGTGTTTTTGTGAATACAACTGGAAAACTACATTGCTGTTAACTCCCTGCTGTGATAAACTGAGGAATTGATGCTGTTCAACTGGGAGGGAATTCCCATCTAGTGTTCCTGTTGTAGTAAGAGGGTAAATATAAAGATCCAGTGTTATCCCCTGCACTGTCAAAGTGGAGACACTTCAAGAAGTAAAGTATAAATCTGTACAGTGTGGCTTCTTTAATTTAAAGTTGTATTACTCAGTTGAGCTTCTGTTTGATTCCCCTGTCTCTCAGCCTGGGCAGTGAAATTCATCTGTTCTTTCACTCCCTGGTTCTCAGGGTCTGACTCTGCTAGAAATATTTAATTTAAGTTGTTTCTAGTAGTTTTTTCTCCTACTGTTGTTTGCAAAATCTGCTGTGCAGGTAGAAATGGCTTCTGTAATCTTTAACAAGGCCTTCTAGCCATATTTTGTTTGCACAATCCGTTGTAGTTGGTTCTCTTAAATTGACTTTTTGGCATTTCAGAGCTTGGATTATGATCGCTGTATCAATGACCCATACTTGGAGGTTTTGGAGGGCATGGACAATAAGGTAGGATCTTGTTCTTTCTTTTTCCTAAGCTTGAGAGCTAAAACTGTGAAAATTGCTCAGAGAACCTGTGAATACCCTATCACTGGAAGTGTTCAAGGCCTTGTTTGATGTGGCTTTGAGCAACCTGGTCTAGTGGAAGGTGTCCCTGCCCATGGCAGGGGGTGGAATGAGATGAGCTTTAAGGTCCCTTCCAACCCAAACCATCCTGTCATCTAAAAATGCTCCACTGCAGGAAGTTCTGTGGGATTTTTCTTCTTTATGAAAGAAATTATATGTGTTGTCTTGCTTTCCCTACCAAAAGAATAAAGATCTGTGTGGAGATGATAGGTCAGCATCTGTTCTGATCCTCCTGGGTTTAAAGTGAGTGAAATGCTCAGCACTTTCAGTTCCCTATTTTCAGTTTGCTGTTGTCACCATCTTCTGTTGATTTATCCCTCTGGCTGTACTTGAGCTGTCGAGCCCCAAAACACCTTTTTCCAATCCCCGTTTTTGTGTTGCTTTGACTTGACTTTTTTTTCTGTCCTTTTTTTATCCTCTTCCTAAACAGAAAGCCCAGAGATACGAAGCCGTGAAGTGGGTGCTGGTTTTTGCTATTGGAGTCTGCACAGGACTGGTAAGGGTCATGCTGTTTGGAGAATGAGGAAAATTCAGGAGACTAAGCAGGAATAATTTAAGAGTCAATGGCCAAGGAGTAAAGAGGTGGAAACATTCTCTTTCGTGGAGTGGAGAGCTTAGAAGCTGGAGTTGTCCTTTGGGAATTACAGCATGTTGTTGCTAGTTGATTTTCCAAGTCTTTTTTTGCTTTTAGAATTTGCTGTGTTTTCTTTGTAAAGTATTCTGGCAAATCCTTTAGTTTTTCATACAGGAAAACTTGTCCAAAGTGAGCACCTAATAAAAAAGGATGCAAATTTATAGCTGAACTGTATTGTGCGTGTTTGGCAGTATTAGTGTCACTGCACGTGCTTTGAAAATTAGCTCAGCTGACTGTATGCTTCAGTTAAACACCACCTTTCTTCTGTGCCCTGAAGTATGTTGAGGGTGTTAAAAGTGCTGCCAGATTAGTACTCTGAAATACAGCTCTTCAGGAATAATTCTAGGCTGGCTCTGTCCCAGTGGGAAAGAGAGAGGGAGGAACTCTGACCTTTCAAAGTTTCTTTACTCTGACTGATGATTCTTTTGGCTTCTCCATCCTCTGTCTTCCCATGTGTGCACACTTCTGGTAGGGCTTACCAGAGGGTGGTCTTTGTTATTGGATGTGGTAATTCCTGATGGCAATCCTGCCTTCTTTTCCCAGGTGGGCCTGTTCGTGGATTTCTTCGTGCGGCTCTTTACGCAGCTCAAGTTCCGGCTGGTGCAAAGCTGTATCTTTTTCCTCGTGTGTGGGGCCCTGGTAGACTCAAGTGACCTTTTCCTTTCTGTTCCACTGTCTTGCTCAGAACAGCTGACTCTCACACTTCTGCCACCGGTCATGTTGTTCATGATTAAGCAAGTTTTCAACTCACTTATGTAATTCAGCCCTTGAAACTAAGGAATGTTTCCAGTGTTGGGTACATAAGCAGAGGCTGAAAGAATGAGTGGTTTCCCTTCCTCATAACTCGGTTTTGAGCTCTGAAAAGGAAGCCTGGCTTCGTGATGGGTTGTGTCAGCTGGATTAGGGAACACAGGCCTGGCTCCTGATGCTGGTGGGACGCCCAGACATTATCAAGTGATTGTGTGTTGGTGTGGGGAATGTTGTTGTTTTCCTTGACCGTCCCTGCAGCGGTGGAGGAATGCTCTGAGAAAGGCTGCCTTGCACTGTCCTTGCTGGAGCTGCTGGGGTTCAACCTGACCTTTGTTTTCCTTGCCAGTCTTCTGGTCCTGATCCAAGTAAGACTTCACTCACTGCTGCTCCTCACACAGCCTCCCTTTCCTCTCACACAGGCCCTGGGTATGAAATATCCTTGCGAGAAGCACTTTCTGCCCCAAGACATCAAACTAACTTTACGGTGCTCATTGATTTAGCTAAGCAGGGCCTCTTGATCCCTTGCTCTCTGATGAGATGTTGTTGGTCAGGTATGAAATCAGTGCAGCACAGTGTCAGTGTTTCTTTCCTGCAGCCTGTAGCAGCTGGATCAGGAATTCCTGAAATTAAGTGCTACCTCAACGGGGTGAAGGTGCCAGGGGTGGTGCGTCTGCGGACGGTGGTGTGCAAAGCCATGGGAGTGCTCTTCAGTGTGGCTGGAGGTAAGGAGGGCACACAAGGCTTATCCTCCCTTTCCAGTAAAATTATTTTGGTGGGCTGGAGCAGAGTCATGAACCCTGAATGCATTTATGTAGTAGAAAATAGCCAGGAGGATCAGGACTACGAGGAGAACAGGGGTTTTTCTGAGTGGGCTTGTCAGACACGACTGTCTAAGAGGATGTCCTGAGAATTTTCCAGGACACGCTGTCTGGAGCAGCCAGAAGGCAACTGTGTTCTAGGCAGCGGGGCAGAATAACCTGGACAGTTCAGAGTCCTTGTAACAGTTGTCTTTCAATGATTCCACCCACTTGGAATGCAAAGTCTGTGCAAGTCTTCACAAACATTTGGAGGGTCGAGGGGGCAGGGGGTCAGCATCTCCTTGTGAGGCACTGCAGGCTTGGCACAAGGACCTGTGCCATGGCATGGAAGTGGGGAGATGATCTCTTCTGGTGTTGTCAGCAAGGGAGGGTGGTGATGAGGAAAGTGTTGCCTCATTAATTCTGTTTTTCCAGGTCTTTTTGTTGGGAAGGAGGGTCCAATGATTCACAGTGGTGCTGTCGTGGGTGCAGGCTTGCCACAGGTTAGTGCTGGCCTGGGTCACTGTCCTGGTCACACCACTGCTTTGTAAGAGTAAGTTTCCATCTCCTGTGTTTCTAAATCTTTACTTTGTTTGTAGTTCCAGAGCATCTCTTTGAGGAAGATCCAATTTAACTTTCCCTATTTCCGCAGTGACAGGTACTGTACCCAGGCTGTGGAGGAGGGGAGAGGAGGAGGAGTGAGCAGACTTCCCTGGGAGAAGGGTGGTGGGCTGGGCTCAAACAGTCAGTTGTTTTCTCAGTTTTTCTCTAGTGTCCTGCAGTTTCATTCTGCAGCAAGACAACACCAGGACTTGACTCTTCCCTGCTGCTCTGGTCTCCATGTTCATAGATGTTCTCTTGTACTTAGCAAATCTCTACTGATTTGAAACCTTTAATCTGTTAACCACCCAGATTAAAGGTTTTAAATTACTTCATTGCTCAGTTACTCACCCCTCATGGCCATGATATACTACAGAGAAGGCTGGTTCACCTGAATGTGAATAAATTCTTGCCTTTTTCTCTCTGTAGTTCTTTCAAGTGATGCTGGAGTCCTGTGGTTTGGGATGGTTCCTCATGGACTAGACAGTTGGGTAGTGCCAGAATTTACTCTGTGTTGGTGCCCTACAGAAAGAGCATCATGCTGCAACAATTTAATGACCAAATGGTGGTGTCTGCCATGGCCAGCACTTCTCCCAACTGTCACTCCTGTATCCCTGGGATATATCCATAAATGGGAATGATCTCTTTAAGTTGCAGAACCTAAGCATCCTGAGAGCTCTAATTTGCTAAACTGGGATTGTTTTCCTCTTCATTTCAGGGATAAAAGGGATTTTGTATCTGCTGGAGCTGCTGCAGGGGTTGCAGCTGCCTTTGGAGCCCCAATTGGAGGCACTCTTTTCAGCTTGGAAGAAGGTTCCTCTTTCTGGAACCAGGGGCTCACATGGAAAGTGGTGAGTGGTGATTCTTTCTGTGTGTCTCTTCCTTGGGAAGAGGGCTCCCATTGGGAGGGCTTGTCCATGAGGGCATTCAGATTATCCTGTCTTTTTCTGAGCTCTCCTGGCAGGAGGGAGAGTGCTTGCTCTGTCAGTGCTCCAGAGCTGCTCAAATCAAGAGCAGAGATGAGTCTGGTACTGTCTGGAATCGTGGGACAACTCTAGGCAGCAGATTTAATGTACCTGGGAGAAAGGGCTTTTGTGCCTCAGCTCTTTGCAGTCTGATCCCTTCCCCAGGCATAAGTCCCCAGAAAGAGCTGACTGTGCCAGTCTTAATTTTGTAAGCCTTTTCTTCTTCCTTTTTTTACTTATTTTACTTTGACAGCTTTTCTGTTCCATGGCTGCCACCTTCACCCTGAATTTTTTCCGCTCTGGGATTCAGTTTGGAAGTTGGGGGTCTTTCCAGCTCCCGGGGCTGCTGAACTTTGGCGAGTTTAAGGTAAGATTTGGCATTGTTATTTCTGTTATTTTCTTGATCATTCAGTGTTTTCTTTCTATTAGTTTGGGTTTGGGGTTTTTTTGATACATGCTTGTCTTTCAGTGCAGGGCAGTTGATTCTCAATCATTGTATTGTATCAATGCACTGATATCATATCCTCAGACAGAATTGCTCCCCTTCGGTCACAACTGCTCAAAATCTGCTATGGAGACAGAAGTGTTGGTAGGAAATTGCAGCAACTACTGTAATGCCTTTTTTTGTGCTTTTCTGCACATAGTGCTCTGAGTCTGATAAGAAATGCCACCTCTGGACAGCTGTGGACTTGGGCTTCTTCATTCTGATGGGGATTGTAGGAGGCCTTCTCGGAGCCACCTTTAACTGCCTGAACAAGAGACTGGCCAGATACCGCATGCGGAACGTGCATCCCAAGCCAAAGCTGGTCAGGTATTTGTTCTCTCTTGGGTTTGTACAGGGATCTCTCATCTGTGTTCAGGGTCCCAAAGCACAAGCATCAAGATAGAAGACTCAGTGAGTAGGATCGGAGGAAATCCCAGACTTGTTATTTTAAAAATCACAAGACAAAGTCTCCACAGAACTTAAAGTGAACACCAGAAACCAGATGTTACAGTCCCTGTGCATTTTTGTACTTTGGTGGTACAGGGAGAGCTACAACCCCTGTTACAGTGAAGGGAGCTCTTTATAATGGAGCTTTGTCTCCATGCAGGATTTTTTTTATGTCGTGTCCAGATGTGACAGATGTGAAAGGAATAGCTGATCTCACTTTTTTTTTTTTAAATTATCTTGATTAATTAAATCCACAACTGAGCTAGTATCTGTGCTATTTAGAGAGGGAATTGCCATGTTGTTCTGGAAAGTAGCCGTTTGTTTGCTTTAGACAATTCCTAAATAAGAAGCTCAGGTTTAAAAAGAAAAAGAAGTGTATTTCAGCAGTTAGAAGAGAGATTATGAGACTATGCATCATCCTGTCCAGCCCTGTCTGTCCTTTTGCCCTGTAAGGATGTACAGAACATTGTTTCCATGTGAGCAGCCTCTTCACTGAGCCCTTCCCTGGGGCTTTTTATGTGTGCCTGCTATGTGTTCTCTGGGCAGAAATAGCTCCTTTTTGGGGCAAGCAATTAAAAAGGGGAGTTAAGGCAATTCCTGGGAGCCAAGTCATAATTCAACTTGACGTGCAGTGTCCCCTGTTCTGCTGCTAAGCTGTGGTGACTGCTGCTTCTTGCAGCCTTGTCAAAGTCATGTCCAGGGCTGGGACTGGGTTATAGTGCTGAGTGTGGCTTAAATGTGGTTTCTGTTGTGTCTTTCAGGGTCTTGGAGAGCCTGCTGGTGTCACTGACCACCACGGTTGTGGTCTTTGTAGCCTCCATGGTCCTGGGGGAATGCAGGCAGATGTCTTCCAGCAGTCACAGTGGCAATGACACCCTGAGCCTGCAGGTGAGGGGTCTCATGTGAAGATTACATTCCCTGTCATAGGGTTACTCCCAGTCTGCCCAAAGGCTAATGGTAGGAGACAGTGGCTTTTAAGTCTTCTTGTCTTGTGTGTCCTGCATTAGGATATGTCAGAGGATATAAATTCAAGCATCAAAACATTTTTCTGCCCGAATGAGACCTACAATGACATGGCCACACTGTTCTTCAACCCTCAGGAGTCAGCTATCCTGCAGCTCTTCCACCAGGACGGTGAGTTGTAAGGGGACAGTGCCCCATCCCGTGCTTAGGCTTCAGAGCTTCGTCTTGCCTGGAACAACCTTGTCATAAGCACCACAAGGTGGCCTTCATGGCTCTAGTACAGCTGGTGAAAGTCTCCCTCATGGGAAGAAAGGCCTGCTTTTCCTCTCTTTTCACTTACTCATTGTCTGCATGTGTGTTTGGACTGGAAGACTCAGTAGCTGTCGTGAGATGAGCCTGCTGTGAGCTGTGGGGTGGATGGTGCAAGACTGTGTTTGTCTGACACACCCGTGCCTCTTTAGTCATGGATCTTCTTGTGTTTGCAGGTACTTTCAGCCCAGTCACCCTGTCCCTGTTCTTCCTTCTCTATTTCTTACTCTCCTGCTGGACATATGGGATCTCTGTGCCCAGTGGTCTGTTTGTGCCATCACTGCTTTGTGGGGCTGCCTTCGGACGCCTGGTCGCCAACCTCCTCAAAAGGTGCATCGAGTGTGTGTGTGTGTGTGTGTGTGAGGGACATGCTGCAGGTGCACCCTGGGCTCTCAGGCAGGTTTTCCTGACCTTTGGGCTCTGTGCTCTGCCCTAGTTACATCGGCCTGGATCACATCTACTCGGGAACCTTTGCGCTGATCGGGGCCGCGGCGTTCCTGGGAGGAGTGGTCCGCATGACCATCAGCCTGACTGTCATCCTCATCGAGTCCACCAACGAGATCACCTACGGGCTCCCCATCATGATCACCCTCATGGTGAGTGCAGGGCCTTAGCTCTGCCTTCCTCCAGGCTGCTTGAACATCTGCTGGCTCTGAATCTCTGTTCCTTCTGGGGCTGTCATGAGCCAAGGAGTCTGGTACTTGGAGCAACAAGCCTTCCGTTTGCTCTGCAGGTAGCCAAGTGGACAGGAGACTTTTTCAACAAAGGCATCTATGACATCCATGTGAACCTGCGAGGAGTGCCTCTTCTGGAGTGGGAAACAGAGGTGGAAATGGATAAGTAAGGCTGCTCCTCTTGACAAGGCTGTGGGTTAGAGTTCAGAAAAGCTTTAGTTCAGGGGGATGATGCTTCACCTCCAGCAAACCTGGCTGCTCTGAGGAGTAAATGTGAGGGCTGCTGTGAGTGAAGCTGGAAGTTGTTCATCAGGAAGGAGATGCTGAAGACCTTTCTGAGGAGGGGTGGATGAGTGGAGATCTGAGGGGTGGATTTGTGAGGTTCAGCAAGAACTCTGTGAAAATGTTCCACTGACTTTGTTTCTTGTAGAATGTTATCTTCCCACCTGTCTTCTTTTCCCGCTAGTGTTTAAACACTTTCTGTGTTATAAGTTGGAATATTTTCCCTTTCCTGTAGTGCATCACTGATACAATGTTCTGTTAAAAAAAGCATTTTAAAAAATGGATTGTGCTATCACTGCTGATACCACAGTGAAGGTGAACACACGGGTACAAGGAGCTGGCAGAACTAAACTGCAGCAGACTCCTTCAGGATCTCATTTTGAGACTGGCTTGTCTTGTTTGTCCATCACTGTCACCGATGTGATGCATGCAGCAGTCTTGGATTTCTGTTACTTCAGGCTACGAGCCAGTGACATCATGGAACCCAACCTGACCTACGTGTACCCTCACACCCGGATCCAGTCCCTCGTGAGCATCCTGCGCACGACTGTCCATCACGCCTTCCCTGTGGTCACTGAGAACAGGGGCAACGAGAGGGAGTTCATGAAGGGAAATCAGCTCATAAGTAACAACATCAAATTCAAGGTAAAAAGTTGCTCGTTTGATAAGTTGAAGGGTAGGGAGCTTTGTTTTGCAGATGGAAGGGCCTTGGTTTAGTTAACTAGGCTGTTGTGCAGAACTCAGGTCAGAGATAAGCACTTACTGTAGCACAAAATTTTTGAGAACTCAATTTCATCCCATTCTCTGGGTCATGATAAAGGCAGAAGAGTGGGCTGTGTTCCTAAAGGCAAAAGTAAAGAGGACAAAATGACCTGTTTAAGTTAAGGGGAGGCAGAATTTGGCACCACAGTACAGTCTATTGGCTGTTCCTACAAGTCCTGCAGCACTGGTTCGGGAACGTCTTATCTGGTGGCATAAAGCTGTGATCAGATAGTTCACAGTCACTCTTGGATAACTGGACTTGGTTAGTGAGTATCTGAAAAGTGTTTGTTGTATCCAGAAATCCAGCATCCTGACCCGAGCCGGGGAGCAGCGCAAGCGCAGCCAGTCCATGAAGTCCTACCCCTCGAGCGAGCTGCGGAACATGTGTGACGAGCACATAGCGACGGAGGAGCCTCCCGAGAAGGAGGATCTGCTGCAGCAGATGCTGGAGAGGAGGTGAGATCCTGGTATCTCCATATGTTGAGATGTGTTCTAGTGCTTCATACAATCCCTGTCGTTCCATGTGTCAGAGGAAACAGTGCTGTTGCCCGTGTTTTAGAAGTGACTTGTCAGGTCTCATCAGCCTGTACTGGGGCTCACGCCTGTGAGTGAGTCCCAGGCTAATGGCTTAGGTCCAGCCTGTTAAATTCCCAGAAATATTTCCTGGAGAGGATGGAATACCTGGAGAGATCCCTTCTCTGTAGAAATCGATGTCCTCTTGTCTGCAAAAACCTGAGGGCTCTGCAAAGCTCACTTGTCCCAGCTAATGACCTGGTGCCATGATACTGATACCACCGTTCTGGTAACTGGGCTGAGTCACCAGGCTTATGTTGCAGTTACTTCCAAGGAGAAGCCCAGTCTAGTGAATCATTTTCTAAATTAGTGATGGTGACTCTCATGAGTGACATCCTGACCCTGACATTTTGCCAGGTGCTTCAGCCTTTATTAGAATCTGAATAATTTGTCAACAAAAATTGCTTTAGTAGCAAATGATTAGAAATTGAGAGTTAGGAGGCTCTCCATTCTGCTGCTGTGGTGATACTCTGACTACATAATGGCTCTTGATCCCTCTCTGCTGTTTTGCTTTGTGGAGTAAAGGCTTGCTTGCCCCTATCAAGAGTCCCTGAAATGTTCAGGAGAAGGTTGCAAATTGCTGAAATAGCTGCTGTTTTGGAAGCAGGGGTGTATGGCTTTCCTTAAGTTCATGCAGCTTATAACACATGGTGTTAAATCCCTCACAGATACACTCCCTACCCCAACCTGTACCCTGACCAGTCTCCCAGTGAGGAGTGGACCATGGAGGAACGATTCAGACCCTTGACCTTCCATGGCTTGATCCTGCGCTCACAGCTGGTCACCCTCCTTGACAGGGGGGTTTGCTACTCCGAGAGCCAGTCTGTGAGTATTCCTAGTTGGGAATTGTAGCAGAGACATCCCTGCCCTCTCAGCTGAGGAGGTTGGGAACTATTTTTATGGGCTGCCAAAAAGAATTTACCTATTTTTACACTTTAAGGGATGCCTGTGTGTTTTAAAAGCTGCAGACAGGTACTGTGAATTCTCCCTTGCAGCTCTTAGAATAAAGGGAACTGAATTTCTGTTTAAGCATCCCCAGGAAAATCGGACAGCTGTTGTTAAAAAAATAAACCAGCAGACCCATTTGTTGCATTAAAGATGCCATCCTGTCAGAACTGGAGAATGGGAGGCAGATATCAAATACAAACAGAGCACCCAGCAGTGCATACTGTTTGTTTTTATGCTGTGTGCCAGGGTCTTACCAGAGGAGTGTCAGATGTGTCACTGAGGTCAGTGTGAGCTGAGAGGCTCAGCTCCCACAAGGCTGATCTCCTGCTGCCCTCCAGTGTCGAGTGTAGGTCTGTCAGAGGTTGGGGAGCAGGACTGTTCTCTGCCTGTGTAGGTTTGGGTTAGCACTGAGAGGTGCCTGTGTGGGATGGTGGCACCTGGGGGGTTTCAGTGGGGTTTGTTTCCTTGGCAGAGTGCGAGTCAGCCCCGTCTGTCCCACGCAGAGATGTCGGAGGATTACCCTCGCTACCCAGATATCCATGACCTGGACCTCACTCTGCTGAACCCTCGCATGATAGTGGTAAGATAGGCACTGCAGTGTGACAGTGTCTCCTGACTTATATTTATGACTGTTCCCAAGCCTTTAAAAACCACTGAGAGCACGTTTAACTCCACCTTTGGGTTTAGTGACCAGCATCTCATGCACTCACCCTTCTCTGCATGTGGAAATCAAGCCATGAGGTAACAGCTTCCACACTTGCTTTACTTCTAGAATAAGGTGTTGCCTGTCCAGTTTAACTTCCTTCCAAACCAAAGCAAAATAATTTCATCTTGTGCAGAAATAGAAGATGCTCACGGTCCCATACCCTGTCCAGAGATCGGTGCATTACAGACAGGACTTGTAGGAATTGTTTGTTGATGATTCCCAGAGATAGTAAAAATGCCTCTTGTAAATAACATGATTGCTTTTCTTCCTTAGGATGTCACCCCATACATGAACCCATCACCCTTTACTGTCTCTCCAAATACTCACGTGTCACAAGTCTTCAACCTGTTCAGGACGATGGGGCTCCGGCATTTACCGGTTGTGAACGCGGTTGGAGAGGTGGGTCCTTGTCTCCATCTTGTCTTAGCTGAGCAAGGAAGCCTCTGTGTTTGTGTTTTCTGCCTTTGGAACAGTTAAGATCTCTTTTAACATTAAAGAAATGCTCTAAAGAAGTCGGAATGTGATCTTCTTAGGGTCCTGAGGTGTTGTCAGTTACTGTGAGTTTTTTTACTGCATTTTGTGCCCCAGCCTGCTTCCCCTTTACCTGCAAAAGGCAGGACATGCATCTCCTCTCTCAGGTTTGCAGCATGTGGAAGCTCTTATATCTTGTATCTATTGAGGAACCTTGAGTTCATCAGGGGCCACTAATTTGCCTTCCTCTTTGACAGCTTAATTCAAGGCCAAGAATAAAGTTTCCCGTGTGTTGGGGCAGGAAGGTTTTCTTCAGGAAGGGAACTTTCATTCTGTTCCTACTTATGGGAGCAGTAAAGTAAAGGAGTGTTTAAATGGTTTGTGCTTGATTTGTGTTTGTCCTTGTCTCTGCCATCTTTGATGCTCGGGAACAGTCAGTAGATGTCAGCAGCCTCCTACAAACATAAGGAGAAACTGTTTCCCTTAGGCCTGAACTGGTCTGCGTGAGGCAGCACTGCTTTTTCTGCCTCTTGGGGTTCCCCATAGCTACTCTGCAGAGCCTGTGAGTGGGACAAGAGGTGTTAGCTGGTTCCACGTTTAATACCTGATGCTTTTGCAGTACTAGAGAACAGCCTAGTTCTAAACTCTTCTAGTGTGTAAAATCAATGGTTTCATCAGCTGAAATGTGTGCTTTGACTGCTTCAGCAGCAGGCTGGGAGAAGGTCCCTTTTGCCACCTGCCAGTGTGCAGCCACCACTTACCCAATCTCACCCATTTCTCTGTTTGGCCTTTAGAGCTTCCTAGGATGTGTGTGTGATAGGAGCTATCTGTAATCATGTCATGTGGGATACCAGAAATGTCTTGAATGAAGCCATAAAAGACAGCTTTGTTATTTCCAATTGCAGTTTTCACTTCCCAAAGGATTTAGTTCCATCTGTAAGCTGTCTGACATGAACAGGATTTCCCTTCCTAGGCAGGAGTAATTACTGCTGTGTGCTGACATGACAGCAATGGCTAAGCTGTCTGTTCAGGTGTAGTTAAAACAGTGTCTTGCCTGGAGATAAATGCTGGGAGAGGGGGGGGACATTGTTTCTATGAGACTTGAACTTGAACCCACCCAACTCAGCATTGGTCAAGAACTACTTACAGGTTTCCCCTTTCTGGGGGATTGTATAAAGAACATGCACGTCTCAGTGGCACGTCTCTGACACTGACTTGTGTCTCTTTTTCCTCTTTTTCTCCCTCTTTAAGATTGTTGGGATAATCACTCGGCACAACCTGACCCACGAATTCCTGCAGGCAAGGCTGAGGCAGCACTACCAGACCATCTGAAGCCCCTGCCCCACTGTTGGTGTGGCCTCCTCCCCGCACACGCTCTCGCACCCTGCTGGGACCCCAAAGGCCCAAGCCCTGCCGTTTGGCTTCTCACGTGCATACCAAGCCTGGGGAACTGGAAAACATCTTGCTAGCCAGAGAATTAGAGGAGCTGCCTGAGCCCAGGGCTGCTGATTGGTCTCAGGCACTTGGTTTGACCACTCTTTATCCAGGTGTTTTCTTTCCCTGTCCCCTCTCCTTCCATCAGATGTTGTCCTGGCACTGTGTGTTCTGCCGTTTTGGTTTGGGGTTTTTTTAAGAATTAGAAGGAAGAACCATCAAACTCCCCTGTGTCCTGTGCAGAGAACTGCAGCATCGTTCCCTTCCTCCTGTATGACTCCCTTTTCCTCTTCCTCCCTTGTTCCTGCAACTGTTGCCTTATTTGTGTGAGAAGGGGGTTGCTGTCAAGGCTGAGAGGAGATACTGAGGTTTGCAGATATCAAATAGCTACTCTGCAGGATGGCTTTTCTCAAAGGCAGTATTAAAAAATCCAGCTTTTTGGACATATACCTCTCTTTGCAAGTGCTCCCAGTTGCCCATGTTTTTCCACACTAGCTTCATTTGTTCCTAATTTCTTTACTTCTTTCATGGGGAAATGTCCTTGCTGTGATGTTTTTGACAGAGATGACTTTTGAGAGCAGCTCAACAAATCAGGAGCTCAAAAATTGTTAGATTTCACTGTTTGGGTTTGTAAGTATTTAATACATTTGCAATGCATCTCAGAGAAGGGAGATCTCTGTTAGCTCTTGCTATTATCTCCCTGTCAGAGACTCTTCCAAGGCACTTTGTGGCACTCCACTTTGTCACTGACACCCTTGCATTTCTTGGGCATCTGTAGGCACTTTGTCCTTGTCCTGGTCTAGCAGTGAGAGCCTGGGACACCTTCCCAGCTGGAGTTACAGACCAGGGCACTCCATGGCCTCAGAGCATGGAGAGGTGTTGCTTTAGAGCTGATGGTCTCCAGGCTTGGTTGGATCTCTGTCACAAGAGGAGCTGCTGTAGCTTCAGGCTGCCCTACAGGAGAGAGACTTGGTGCTGGTGGATAAGGCAGGACTTGCTGCAGGTGATAAGTGCTCTAAAAATGCTTGGGATAATGTTTGCAACTGCAGCAATCAGCATTAGGAGCCAGTTGCAGCCAGTTCAGTGCTTTAGCAGGTACCATCCTGGCCAGCACCTGCATTGTTCCAGCAGGCACCTGCCCTCCTGAGTTTGTGTGCAGATAACCCTCAGTGGGAAGCCAGTCTTGTGCCTCCAGGGGCTGCAGAGCTGATTGGCTTGATAAAGCACAGAGCATTCATTCCCTCAGCCAAGAGGCTGGGCCAAGGAACATGGGGAATGTATCCCAGAAAAGCTTCTACAAGGCCTCTCAGCCCTCCAGTTAACCTGTTGTCTGCCGTGAGGAGCTGGCTGGGTGGGAGTTGGGACAGAAGGAAGTCAGACATTATTGATTTTCTGTATTTCTGTATTTCCTTAGAGCATAGGAATTGGCACCAGCTATTACTCTTGATTTGCAAGTTCTTTCCCTGTAAGTAGAGTGAGGATGTTTGTTCTCTCTGGATAGTCTCTGCAGGTGGTGTCTAAAATACCTGTATTCCCTGAGCTCTGGTCTTGCACTGAGCTATCCCAAGAAACTTCCAGCACCCTTTTGCACTCCCTGAAGCTGGGCTGTAGGTTTGAAATGTGCTTCCATTAACCTGCCTTTCATTCAGAGGATTTGTGCTCCTGGGTGGTTACAAATCACAGGAATCCTGTTTCTGTGGGATTTCAGATCACTCTGATGTGGAATTAGCAATCCTGTCCTCTTAGAGCACCTGTGTCTCTCTATGACAAATGTTCTCCCTCTTACTCAGGTTGAGTGAGTGTGTGTGGAAGGTTCCTTCTCTTCACATGAATAGGGCTCCTTAGATTGTTGGCCCTGAGCTGGTCCTGCTTTATTTCTGTACACAAACTGCAGGATATTTTGCTGCAGGATGCCTTGTCATCACTACTGAGGCTGGAGTTGGGCAATCCAGACAAGGCAGGCTGGAGAATCTTGTCAGGGTTTTTCTGAGCACCAGCTGCTTCCCCATGAGAAGGCACTTGCCTCCAGCCTGCTGTCAGCTCTGTCTGCTCTGCCTGGGCATCTTATTCGAATGCTTCAGCTGGAAAACACACCCTCTCATTCTTTCAGTATGAAAGTTTTAAATGAGGCTGGTGGGTGACCCTGTCAGCTGCTTTAAAGGGAAATCTCAGTGTGCAGTTACTGTTCTGTGGCCTGCAGAGAGGGAATTACAAGTTCACCTGATGTTTGAGATGCAGCATTTCCCTTCTGCTGAGGCTGATGCCAAGGGGCTTGTGTTGAATCAGTCTCAATTCTCACACTTTGGTCATTTAATTCCTTTCTTACAACACACTAACTGCTTCCACTCTGGCTCTGGTTGCTTAGTGATTTACCAAGAAACTCTAACATAGGTGCCTGTAACCTTTTACTCAGAGCAACACTAAAGGAATAATAACCCAGAACTGGATTAGTTCTGATGGCAGGGTTAGAGGGTTAGTCTGGGGCCTTCTCCCCTGCCTCGTGGTCTCCTGTGCAGTGTTAATGATGCAGTTTTGAATTGTTAATTACTGTGAGCCATTCCAATGGTAGCAACTTACCTTTCCATTTGTTTTTTTTTGCACTGTTTTTTCGTTATGAAACGATGTAAGCTAATTCCATGGTGTACATAAATTGTATTTTTTTTAAATTTGTATGAATATATTTTTATTTGAACTATGGCACTTGGGAAGTATTCATGTGAACCATAACATGTCTGAGAGTAAAATGTTTGTGTGTCTCCTTCAGCACTTTCAAGGCCTTTTGATGTTTCTAGTATTGTTTTATTTTTGCCCTTTTGATGTTTCTAGCACTGTTTTATTTTTGCCCTTTATGATAATAAAACTAGTAGAACATGGCAACATCCAAGAGCCTGATTTGAGGGAGTTGAGTAGTTGCTATTTATGAGCTGTCTGGATCTACAGTTTGTGCAGAGGGTGCTCTGGGGGTGGGCAGAGAGGAACGTGTGATCCTTTAGGTTGTGGCCACTGTAATTCCACATTCTCCCACAACAGCTGTATCAAAGGAGGGAATTTCCAGTGTTTGATAAGGAGCTGAATTGTGCACATGGTGCTGGTTTCCTTACCTGAGAACTCACCTTCCTCCCAAGAGGCTCAGAGTGCAGTGTGGCACCTCTTGTTTTTCAGGTGGCTTCTCCAGGATGTGAAAAATCTTAATTTAAACTTTTATTTAGTTTGTGGCTATCTTTCCTGCTTTTGTCCTGCTGTCTGCCTTACAGAAAAGTATTTTGTGACACTTTTTGAGCTTTCATCACATGCTTGCAGGCCAAAAATATAAGTAAATGCAGTCTTTGAGCACTGCAGAAATACCTGACCTCAAAATCTCACAGCCTTTCCACGTTTTTCTGGATCAAGGGCTGCGTTGTACAGGATGCAGTCTAACACCCCACAGCTTGTCTGGCTCCTGCCCTTTGGCTCTCCCCTGTGTCTGTGTAATGCCAGGGAAAGCCTGAAATGGGTAAAACCATCCCTTGGGAGGGGGTGGCAGAAAGGCTGTGCTTGGGAGCTGAACAAGAAGTACCACGGTGGTTTTGACTGAGCTGTGCTTCTGGCAAGGGGTAGGAGGGGATCATCAGGAGAAAGGAGTGGGGGAACTCTGCTTCAGCTCTATGCTGCCTTTGCTCATAAATGCAGGGATGTAGGAGGGAATGAGAGACATTTATAGACTCATTACATCCACATGTGTTCCTGTACCTGCACACCAGAGCTCTGGCAGAAAAATTTCCAGAATCACAGAATATTCTGAGTTGGAAGGGACCCACGAGGATCACTGACTCCAGCTCTTAAATGAATGGCCCATTTAGTGAGATTATTATTTTTTCAATTTTTGCTTTACTTTTTACTAGGGGTATGTGTGCATACCCCTACAGGTGTGTGGTGTGTGCATATCCATACAGGTGTGTGGTGTGTGCATTCCCAGACAGGTGTGGATCATGCAGCACACACAGGAAGGAATAGGGGATGGCTGCCCTGAGCTTTGGCTCTGTGTGTGTGTGTGTGTGTGTGAGGAGAGAGAGAAGCTGCTCTTCTTGTCCAGGGTGCTGAATTGCTTTCCAGCAGTGGTGGGATACACTTGGCCTCTTCTGCACCCACTGTTTGTCCATATACAGTTGTGGAAAGGGCTTGTTGGGAGCTGGAATGAGACATCAGTGAGTTCCACCATCTGGGAAGGGAGGGGTATCAGTCTGTGAGGTTTGGATGTTGAGATCACTGTTAAAAAGTGAGCAGGGTGTCCCTTCTCTGGGGACACGTGCAGGAATGAAGGCACAAATCCCTGTGTGGGCTCGGTATGGTTTGACACACATTTTAATGATTTCTTAAGCATTTTGGAGCAGACACTGGATCCCACATGTACCAGTTTCAGTAGATGAATTTAGGAAACAATACTGTGTTGACAGCTCACAACTGTAACAGGTAAGACAGGACAACCCTGAGCCCCTTGCTGACTTCCCCAGCAGCTCCTTGATGCCTGTACTAGAGAATATCTCTTGGGATGGCTGAACTTACACACTGGTTTTGTCTTTCCTTTGGTTCCTCCCAATTGCCAGCATAGCAGGCCTGACTGTAGCTGCCTTCCCACCACCCTCTCTTTTCTTAAAACTTCCCCTACTCCCAACTCTGCTTCTGTTTCTGTTCAGCATTGTGCTGGTTTTCCCAGAGAGCACACAGGAGATAAGGGAGGGGGAAGGTCTTACAAATCATCCTTCCTTCCCACATAAAAGTGTGGGACACACTTATCAAGCAGATGTCACTCAGCAAATGCCTTTGGGGCCCAAGATTCAGGGAAAGTAAATCAAGCAAGCTGGCTGTGGCCAGCCTGGGATGTGAGCTGGCACAGCTCCACATCTCCCTGCAGCAGCAGAGGGCGTGTGCCCTGTGCTCCACACATGATTTCTTAGAGAAACAAAGCAGTGCTGACAGCTCCTCTTGGCATTCTTGTCTGCAGACTTGGATTCCAGTGAAGCATTTCATCTAGTGGGGAGCTGGAAAGGGGTAGTGCAGTGTCTGAGGGGCAAAGAAACCATCATATCCAGTTTGCAAATAAAGCTTTTCCAGCCAAGGCTCGTGCCTTACAGAGTGTGTGGAGCATGCTGGTGGAATTGCTGGGGTTCAGAGCTCATCAGGGGTTCTGCCAGGAGCTGTTGGGAAGTGAGAATGAAGTTCTGGCATGGCAGGAGGTGGCAAATGTCATCAGAGCCGGGTGGAGGGTGTGAGCCTGGTCCTTCTCTGATCCCACTGGGATATTTCTTCATTTGCACGATGGCTGTTCCCAAGGCTGTTCCCTGCTCTCTCTGATCCAACCCTCACATCAGCAGTGGTGGCTTTGCCCGTCCTTGGGGTGATGCTCTTTGCCTGCAGGGCCGATCAGCGCCAGGTTCCCCTCATTCAGCTTTTCCCTGTGCCTGTTGCTGTGTGCAGCCCTGTTCTGACCTGGCTGTGGGATTTCCCTGAGGGAGCTTTACAGCTCAGTGTGTTTATGGGAGCAGCAGTAAAAATCCAGTCAGAGGTGCTTTTTTCCTCGATTGCTTACCCTCAATGAGGTTCTCCCAGACCCCAGGGTCCATTAACTTACTGTCTGCCAGCCAATACAGACTTGTTCCACCAGGAACTGGCTTGCTGTTAATACTGGACCCACCTGCCTTTGGGTCAGGCAGCATAGACTCTTCTTGCCATTTTTAGCACGTTCCACTGAACTAATTAGTGTTTTGTGCCCTGAGGGGCTGACAGGGAGGGACAATTTACAGTGTCTGTGCAAGTTTTGCTTGACTGGGTAAAATTCAGTTCCAGCAAGAGTTGTTATTGTTAGAATAAGTGAATTGGTTTTACTTCCCTTATAGCAGCACATGGGAAGTCAGGCTGTTACCCATTGCTGGTGTGGAGGGATCCACCTGTGTGTTCCCATCTTGCTGCAGTGGGAAACAGGTGTGTTTGGAAAGCCTGAGAGGACAAAGCCCTGTTGTCCCCACAAAGGCTTCCCAAAGGGTGACTTCACACCCCCTTTATCTATGAAACTGCCTCTGAGTAAATGCTAAGTCACTGTAGCTTTCACTGCAGAGATGTCTCATGGAAGCTGCTGGGAATTCATTCTCCTGACAGTGAAACCTGTGTGGACACTGTTGCACAGATATTTTACCTTTAGCTGTCATTGCTGGAAGGAGGGGCTCTGATGTGTGATTTCTATCACACTAGGTGTGGTTTCCTATCGGAGTGGAGCAAAATGATCCCCCTCAGATTAGACTTCTATTCTTCTTCCCTAGGGAAGAATCACAAGGCCCAAGGTGGCAGAGAGCACCCAGGTCCCTCCCAGAGGCTGTGCCAGCAGGGCAGGGAGGGACTGGCAGGGTGACTTGTCAGAAACATATGTGGCACGAGCCCTGTTCAAGGGGTGCAGCAGCTTTAGCTGTGACAGGGGTGATGTGCACTCAGATTTACCCTTTCCCTGTAGCTGTGGTCCCTGAGAGCCTTTGTGAGCAGCTGTCCCAGCCCTGGAACACCTTCCTCCCACAGCCTGTCCTGGCCAGGTGTTGTTCCTCCCTCCCTGTGCATCTGCAGGAGCAAAGTCAGAATGGGACTGTTCCAGTTGAGTCTGTCCTGGTGCTCCTTTCTCAGGGCCCTGAACAAGCTTCCCAGGGTACACCAGTACCTGGGAATGGACTGAGATTCTGGGAATGAGGCTCATGAGGTGCTCAAAATAGCCCAGTTCCCAGCCATGTGTGCAGTCACAGGACAGTTGTGTTGGGCTGGGCTCGAAGCCACTGTTGGGGCTGATGGGATTCCGAGCTGATGGGATGGTGACTGAATGTGCACTTGGCAATATCACCTTCTTTGTTGGGGGGGAGAATATATTTTGGGTCAAATTCAGCTCCTAAGTGTGAAATCTCACTTAACAAAGGTTAAACAAACCTTCATCAGCCTTGCAGTGTTCCCATCAGCCCTGTGATGGGAACATTTATCACTTTTTTCCCAGAAAGTGATAAATGTTCTGTACAAGCTGCTTTGTAATTGGAGTGATCCCACCTGCTCTCTCATGAGGAATATTCAAGGATTATTCAAAGAATCCTTCAAGAAATGCTGGGAATCAGTATCTCAGCCACGTGCAGAGTGAGACAAGACACAGTTACTGATGTATCTTTCTGTTGATGCTCGTAACCTTTATTTGGCCAGTGCTAAAAGCAAATACAATGAATTCCCTTTCCTCCCTCTGGTTATTTTGAAATTTGTGGAGTGTTATAATTTTTCTTATTTCTTTCCATGTAAATTTTGCTTACATGGGGGATTTGTGGCAGTTCCTGTGACTGAATAATCTAAACCAGCAAAAGGACTCTCTTGTTACTGAAACCCTGTCTATATATGTTGGTCTTTCAGTGTTGAACAAGCTTTTTTTTTCCTGCTAATCTGTTAGAATTTTTTAGTGCAGATGGAAAAACTCTAGTGAAAAACTCAGTTTCTACCAAGTTCATACTTTCTCTATCTCATGTAAGGAAGATCCAGCCTCGTGGGTACCAGAATACCAATAAAACTTAGGATTTTGACTTTAGGAATATACAAGAAAATTTAATGCAACAGACAGGAGAGAGGTCCAGCATAGATGTCTAATGTGTTAGTTTTATTTAAAGATGGTCTCTTGGTGCTAGAGCAAGAAATGTTCTTTAAAAAACATCAAATAAATAAATAAATAAATAAATAAAAATAGGAATAACTTTCTGTTGAGGAGTTTGGAAAGCATCTGGCTTTCATCTTGGGAGGAACAGGTACTGTAAAGCATTCTTCAGAGCAGGGAATAGGGAGGCTGATCCTAATTCCTCCGGGAACCTGCAAACCAAACATGAAATAGATGTTACTAAAATCTGTTTCTGTTTCAGTTTGTGGCACTGTTGTCAAGAGTGCTTTTGAAAAACCAGTACTGGCTTAAATACTAGGCTAAAATTAACTCCTTTCTCAAACTGTGTCACCTTAAAGATTTAAAGGGCTGCTCCTCCCCTGTGGTGGCACAGACAGTGACTCAGTGACTCACCATTGCAGCCCATCCCGCTGAGGGAGCCGATCCGATCGATCCTCCTCCCGAAGCACCCGGAGTCTCTCATCATCCTGGGCATCTGCAGCCCCCTCAGCCTCTTGAGGACGGGGTCCCTGTAGGACAGGGGGGTGTTGGGTGCCAGCCTGGGCTCAGCCTTCTGGTCCTCGCTGTCGTCGTCGAGTTCTGGGCGGATCTCCTCCTGGGGTTTGGGTTCTTGCAGGTCAGGGTTGGACTCCAGGGCTTCAATCATTGCAAACTTATCCTCCAGCCTCTCCAACAAAGCCTGTAAGAGAAGGATTAACTTCATGAAACTCCTAGTTTTGTGCTCATTTGCTAAGTCTTCCAGTCATCCCATTCTGCATTCATCAGCAGTCCCATGGGCAGCCCTTGGGAGACTGTCAGGTTGGATCCCAGGTCCTTGAGCTCTGTCCTCTGCACTAAATCCCTGTTCACAGCAATTCCATCTATAGGAATCTACAGCTGTGAGCTGAATGAAGCTGCTTGACACCAAGTGTGTCTCACTGGCAAGGTTACAACTCTTGACAGAGGAAAAAAAGCCCGAGGTCTGAGTTGCACAGGGAGCTACCACTCAGCCCAGCAGTGGTACAGCCTCAGAGAATCTTTGGATCCATAGCCATGTTCTCAGAACCTGCTGCTTTGTCACCCCTGGCTATTTCAATGGACACCACTTGGAGAAGCTCCTGGTGTTTTCACTGATCTCTGCCCCAGGGGTTACAGGATTGCTGCTCCCTAAAGTAACCAAAAATATCCCTGTGCTAAATTATTGCCTGCTGAGTGATTTCTTCCTGGGTACCATTCTCTGTAATTTGTACAGCTTTGTGTGACAGGGACCAGATAACCTTCTCAAGGGCAGCTCAACCAATTAGGGGAACCTAATTGCCCATCTCTAGAAGTAGAATAGAAAGGAGTGAGCCTCATGGCTTGCCTGACAATGCATTTGGAAGCTGCTCTTCTTGGCTGCTGCAAACAGCCCAGAGGCACAGGGTGGTTTTAGCTACAGCTGACACTGTCCCAATATCTCAGGGAGTTTGTTCTCAAGCCCTGAGAACAGCTGTGAGAAGCTGGTCACTGGTACCAGACCAAGGAAAGGTTTGAGCTTTCAAATTTCATCTTGCAAGGCTGAGTCTTAATCTTGTGTTGTGCTGCAACAATGGATGTTCTCTGTCATTCATTAGAGTTTGCACTTGGTAATTTCATAGCTCTGGAAGCTTTCCTGGGTGAGCCACACTAAATGATTATAGAATTCCTCTAGAAACATTTCTAAAATTTGACTTTGAGTGCTCCACTTTACCTCCTCATCTCCCATCCATGCACAAATCCCTCAAATTCACAAAGCCAGAGCCCTGTGGCTGCCCTGTTTCACTGCTCCTGCCCTTTAGTGGGGTAGAGAGAAGCCACCTCAAAGTTTTCTGTTTGTTCTTGTAGAGCTACTCTGAAGATTTTTTTTTTCCCTCTCTGGAGCTTTGCTCCCAAGGAGATGGATCTTTAAGAGAAAAGAACCAAAACCCCAAAGCAGACATACCCACAACATTGCAATTTTAATTCCCAGTGCTGCCCAGGAGCTCAGGTGAACCCAGTACAGGAGGATATTGCCCTACAGAGCTTCTCTGAGCCCCTGTGAAGAGCTGAGGCTTTGTCCCCTGGCATGTGATGGCTGGTGTAGCCATTGCTGCCTGATCATGCAAAGGGAAGGCAAAGCACCACCTCACACTCTGCTGAACACCCCCAAATTTTAACCTTAAGAAGAGAGAGAGTCCTCACCTCCATGCTGGCCAGTTCTTTGGCAGGGCTGAGGCTGTAGATGGGGCTGGCTCTGCTGGACTGGAGCTGGATGAGCAGCAGCAAGAGGAAGCCATAGAAAAATGAGCCTTTAGTGTCCATGGCGCTGAGTTGGTTGGGAATAGCGAAGTTCAAGCTGTCTCTTCTGAGATGTCCCTTTGGATCTCTCTATTCGTTGTCCTGTCCTCTCTCTTCCGAAGCTCGTCTTTTATACTCTTGGGCTGTGATCTCTGCTTCCTGGGTTATCAGGGGGTTTATCTTGGGCACATTCCAGTCCCACTGCAGGCATGCAGCTCTGTCAAGGGAAGATTCCCTTTATTAGCTGTCATTAGGCAGCAGCCGCCGTTGCTGAGGAATGTATGTCACAAGTCAGTGATTTCATGTCACTCCCCCTCCTCTTGATACCAGGGCAGTGATTACATGGTCCAGTCGGAAATTCTTAGCAATTTTCTTTCAAGAATGGTCAGATTTATGGAGATGGGAAACAATCCCAAAACCGCTCTAAACTCTGCTCAGTTAGAAGATTTCCACAGAGAAATTACCTTTTACAGGGAAAACAGAAGGCTTTTAAGATGAAGAGTAAAGGCTGAAGATAAATCTACTTTTAGGACACCTACAGCATCGTGCACACTTCCCTTCTATATATGGAATATGTGTGGCCACCACATACCACGGAGTGTGCTGAAAATCCCAGATTTGGGCCAACTTCTCTTTTCCCAGTGCTGTCGAGGTGATATCACCATTGAGACTTTGTGTGTTCCCAACAGCAGCAGCACCTCGATCTGCTAAATATCCTCTAGTGCTGTCTCTGCACCTCAGCAAGGACTGACTCCTCAGGGACAGCGAGTGCTTCCAGCCCTCTGTGCCGACGGCTCCGGCACCGCCGAAAACACCGTCCCTGTTAACAACCAAACCTGCAAATAATGGGATTTCTCTAAACATCGATGGCAAGGCTTGACCCTACAGCAATAAAATTGAAAGGCCAGGTGGCCAGATACAGGAATACAAGAAAGAAACTTGCTTGATGAGAAATTTCAATAGACGGCTTTCGGTGTTATTCAGAAAGGAATCAGAATCTGTCCCCAAGGAAGAATGGGTGAATTTGTGTCCATATGTGCTTTGGGAGGGGTTAAAATGAAATCTTCAGTTTAATAGATTAAAACCAAAAAGTATTTATTTATTTGAATGCTGAAGTTTTTTTAAATTAGCTAAAACCTGCCTATTCTTAAATGAAATAGAGATTTGCTGCAAATTCCTCTCCCATTGTTGTCTTTATGCACATAGTGCAATTAAAAATAAGTCTTTTTTTACAGAAGTGCAAGAGTTCTAAATTGTGAAGCACATTGTTTGCCCCACATTTTCCTAACGTTTCTTTTTATTTTAAATTGAAACAAGAATGAATGTCTATAATTTGTTGACTTTTCACATGAATATAGATCTTGAAAGGATCTTCTGATTAGTTTCTAAATAATAAAACAATGATAAAATATTTCTCATGTCTTAAATGTTTTAACATGGTGTTTGTGTACAAACATGTGGACATACTGTTCACATGATCAGCTACCAAAATTATACTGGAAAGGACATTCCCAAGGTTGTGGAGTCCTGTTCAGATGCTACTTTTTCCTAATATAGTCTGAATTCAGCCCAACTCCGTGTGTGTTCTGATGAAACCCTTTATTACAACAACTTTATTTTTCCTCCACGCTTTCTTTTTTCAGTAAATGGAAGAAATGCTCTTTATTAAGTGTTACCCCAGCACATTCTTGTTTTGTGCTATTAAGAACTAAGATCCTGATAGCTTCTTTTTTTTTTATTTTTTAATTAACACTCCATGATGCAGTGTCTGTATAATTCATCAATTAGTTACAATCATTCTCTTCCTGCTGCTCCTGGTGTGTGTATGTGCTTGTTTACACTGAGGTGTAACTTTGTTTTGTAAACTGCAAAAGTGTGAGAATATAAACCAGAATTATTCATTAATATCCAGTGTCCAATTTAAGATAGTTAAGATCTGTTACTGATGTATTTTTTGTTTTGTTTCTTTCCTTTCACTCACACACACCTCCCTCCACACACTAAATATTCTCTAGTACTGTCTCTGCACAGAAACATTTTGTCACTTGCTCTGAGCTTTGCTTTGTGGTTTGTTTTTTTTTTTGTATAGTAAAATTAGAACTCAGCTCATCACTGTTGGAGCTCTAAAAATCACTTGTTTGTTTGTTTGTTTTATTTCAGTGTCACCACAGTGGTAAGATGAATGTGAAGTTAAGGCTTTGTAGCCCAGCGATGGATATTCAGGATCCAGGCATTGCCTGTGCTCGGCTGGATATTTCCCCGGTAAAACCCTTGTCAGGAGCCTAAACAGGGCAGCAGGTTCTTATAAAAAGCTTAATGTGACTGGTTTTAGGGTTGGGGAAACTGTCACGTTTCCTCAGCATCGCAGGGTGTGGGGTGGGAGGTGTGGGGACATGAGGGTCCCTTAGAGCAGCTCTGGTTGCTCAGAGCAGAGAGGGGGAGCACCAAAGGTGCTGCCGCAGCCCCGGGTGAGGATCCCTGCGAGGAGGAGGATGGACAGAGCTCAGCTGAGGGTCACGTTGCCCCTTCCCCGGCAGGAGGATTCTACGCCCTCGTTTTTCAGCCCTGTAAGGCTGAGGACTGTAAGCCCGGGGGTGGTGAAGCGTGGATTCCTTCTGCTGATAAACCTGTCCTAAAAGTGCTGCCCCGACCTGCCGCACGTCCCTCCCGTGATGTCCATTCTCCTACTGCCGTTTGCGGCTGAGGAGTCTGAGCTGATTTTAAGGAGCCTTTGTAGTCGCCTTTGTTCTGAGGAAGAGGCTGGATTTGGATTCCTTTCATCTCCCAGTGATTAAACCCTTTGACAAAACTATACCGTACCCCACCCAAGCTCTCTTTCCCTGCAGTTTGGTTAGATTGAGAAGGAAATTAAGAGATGAGGCAGTGTGAGAATCAAAAGGGAAATCTAAAAATGTCCAGAGCTGCCATGCTGCGGTTCAGACAGTTAAGTGGTGCCTCGCTTTTTCCAAGGGGGGGGAATTAATTTTCATCCCAAACGTGGAGTATTTCTCCCGGTGATAGGGGTGTGTGGCGGCTGCCCCTTTCTTTGCTGGACTCTCCAGGCTCAGTGCGGGCAGCAGGGAGCTCCGGGCAGGCGAGGGGAGCCCGATAGAGCCCGGCAGAGCCCGGCAGAGCCCGGCAGAGCCCGATAGAGCCCGGCAGAGCCCGATAGAGCCCGACAGAGCCCGGCAGAGCCCGGCAGAGCCCTACAGAGCTCGGCAGAGCCCGGTAGAGCCCGGCGGTGCCGGCGCTCGGCGTGCGGGGGACTGGCGTCTGTCCCGGGTGCTGAAGCCCTGGCAGCCCTTCATCCGCAGCCAGATGTATTTTTAAAGCGATGAAGTCCCTCTGTTCTCAGCGGCCCCCTCTGTGCCAGCCTACCGTGCCAAACCTGGCGCTGGTACCAGCGGATTAGCCCACGGCACAGGGGTGCGAGCAGGACACCACCTGGAATTAACCCCGAGGCCGGCGCCCACCTCCTGGGAGCATTCCCTGCCAGCAGCCGTGAAGCCATCGGGAAAGGCAGCCCGGCTCCCTGCCGCAGTCCTGGAGCTGGCAGCGGTGCCAGGCACTGTCTCTTCAGTGCAGCGTGGAGGGTCACGGGTCTGATCATCGTCCTGGAAGGATGTAACTCCCGTCCTTCCCGCTGCTGCGACCCTCCACAAAGGCTCGTCCAGACCGCCTGGGGTGCTCTGGCCAGGGTCGGGACCGAGCCCTGAGGGCAGAGGGAGAAGAGCGCTCTGGAGGGGGTTTCTGTATCTTCTGATCGTGTGCTAGGCCACGACCGCGGAAAAAGGACAAGCACTCAGAAAAAGCAATGCAGGCTTTGTACAAAAGTTTCTTGCTCCGCACCCCACTGCCGCGGGTCCGGGGGCAGCCGGGCTGTCCGGCTGCTGGACACCGGCCTGGAGGCTCAGGGAGCGCCTGGGAACCGGGCCCGGCTTCAGCTTCTCCTTCTCCTCCAGAAACCTGGGAGAGGAGGGCAGGGAGCTGCGGCGGGACCCGCTCCGAGCCTTCAGCCGGGGACAGCGGCCGCTCCTGCCCCGCTCCGCCCCGGCACCCACGGGCTCGGAGCTGCATCCCAGCCCCGTCCTCTCCCAGCTCGCCCCAAAGCAGCCCGAGAAGCGCCCCGGTCGGAGGCTCCTCACCGGCTCTATCCCTCACCGGCACCGGGGTCCGCAACCCCGGGAGCTCCCGCTGGACCCGCCGCCCTCAGCCCCGGCCACAGGCTGGTCCTCCAGCCCTGGTTCCCCGTCCTCCCCCCGGAGCTGCCCCAGCACCTCCAGGAGGTCCTGCCGAGGGAAGGGGAGGGGGGATATGGATCCCCGCGCTGGCGGGACGGAGCCCCAGCTGGTTTTGTTTAAGGCATCACAGCAAAGAAGAGTCTGGTGGAGAAATGAGGTGTGTGCTTTGAAGGCAGGGAACACGAACGAAGGAAGCTCACGCCAGGTGGGAGTGTTGTGTTGATACAGAATAGGAGCAGATATGGGTGAGGATGTGAATCAATCCCGATTTTGTGTGTACTAGAGACAGACAGGAATGAGAGGGATAAAGCAGTGAGAGTGTACAGGATCTGTGTGATGACCAAGGGGAATAAATACAATTTAGCCCTCTAATAATAAACTAATCAGAAACGAGTCTTGGATGAGACCAGATCTCACCTGCTGCCTGACATCACTTATAATCAGGTTCCCCAAAAGCAGACACATTCGAGAAAGATACATCTATGTTTCTTTCTGTGTAGGAGCAGTTTTACTGGAGGCTTTTCTCCTCAGCCACTTCTGTAATCCTGGTCTGTAAATTCATGAACTGCTGCTTAGCGGAGATGGAAATGGCACAGCCAGAGATGAGCTTCCCCCATCTGAGCGGCATCCTCACTTCAAAGCTTAGCTTTGGTTATTGAAATGCAAATAGAACTCGGCAAATTACCTAAAATACAAACACACTTGGCTTCAGTCCTGGGGATCTAATTATGGAGCCTTTTATGTGAAATAAATTGTTCTTGCTTTCTGAAAAATGGCTTTTTAAAATGTTCCCGCAAAATGCCAGGTGATGGGATGGCACATTACCAGCTCGGCCTCTATAATTGCAGCTCTTATCTCTTTCTTGTTCATCTTCTGTAGGATTCTGTTCACAAGTGCTCCCAGCTCAGACTTCAACCTCCTCTGCCTCCTGTTATTTTCCTGACCCAGAGTTTATGTTAATGTAGCTGAGTTTGGAAACAAGCTGAGGATGTTCAGGAAACAAGCTCCAGTAGCACTTACCCCTCATTGGATTTTCATCGAAATTTCAATGTTGGGAAGGTTTTGTGCCTGTGAGAATGTCCATGCTCTGAGGGTTACTGAGAGCTGGGAGCGAGCTTTAGACTCAGGATTAGTAGGAAGGGAGCTGTAACCTTCCCATTAGCATCTGCCACAAGATCCTGGTTCCTCAAAAGTAAGCAGGTCTGCTTCTTCTTAGCCCAAGTAAATTGTTAGTTTTAAGCCACGTATAGTCTATTTATTGATATGGAATTACAGTGAAAACTACTTTGTTCTTTCATCTTCCATTCCTGACTTTAAGACTTCATCTGACTAGTGAAATCCTTAATTTTCTTGTGATTTTTGCTTAGGAAAGGCAACACAGGGCATAATAAATTCATTGTATTATATGATATACGTATCATATTTGTTATATAATCCATTGTTGGAGAGCTTGTACTCAGGGGTGTCTATGTAAATTCCACTGAGTGTCTGTTCAGGGCATTTTCAGTGCTACTGCTGCTTTGTTATTAAACAGATTAAGTAGCAAAGAGCATAAAAGGATATGTCTTTGAATTTTCAACTCAGTGCTTTGAAATACCTGGATCTGCCTGTGGAAGAGCAGGGTGCCCTTGGACTTCCTTCAAAGAAGGGCGATATTATTTTTTGGTTTGGTTTTATTTTTTTTAAATAAGATACAATCAGAAGAAACAGTTGTTTTCCTCTGTCAGTGGCAGATTTAAATGCAGAGTCACTGCTTTCTACTGATGCCACCTAAGAGAGTTGCCCTTAGTTCAAATTGTGGGGCAAAGACTTGGGGCTCTGTATGTCCTGATTTCTGATTACCAGACAGCAGCCCCCTGAAATGCTTCTGAATTCCAGTGGGTTGTGTCTAATGCAAACTGGGGCTCTGTTTCAGGAATGACACATGAGAGAAGCACAGCAAAGGCTTGAAGCAAATTCACTAAATTATGGAAAGCAATTTATTACCTGAGACATAATAAAACTTGTTTATTTACACATTTAGTACTCTAACAGTACAAATGTGGCTTTTTGTAACTAAATTTCAGAGAGATGTTCACAAGTAATTACTCTGGTACAAACAGGCAGCACAGGAAACGTGTGTTCTGTTGGCCAGGTAATTCGGGGAGAAGTGGGTGCAATTTGCTCAGTACATCGTGTAGGAGATGGTGGAGCCAATATGAAAAAGAGCTGAATATCTCACTGAAAGGCAACAGGTCCTTTGAAACCTCGAAGCCAGTCCTGTCAAGAAAGCAGAGAAATAAATAAATAAAAGAGAAATGTACAGGATTTCACACATGGAAATTAACTGATTTCTGACTGTTCTAGGGCCAGGTTCAGCCCAACTGTTCTGCTCAGAGTTTCTTTGGGTTGAGACAAATATCCCTGGGGAGCTGGTGAAAAACCTCTCTGAACTGGCTGCTGTGAGCAGGTGAAAGGCACACAGCTGATGTGGAGGAAGGGTGAAGGCAGACAAAGAGAGGTGTGGCATTCAGAGATTTTAAGTATATATCTGATGGTAGTGAATTCTGAGGAGGGTAAAATAATGAAATGTGCTTGTGATGGGAGGGCAAAAGTTATTTTAAGGCACCATTTTCTTAAAGCTGAATTAACTCTGCTCTTCTGCAGGTTAAACACACACAGACCTGCCTCTGGCTTTCTCTTACCACAGTGCAGAGTCAGCACCCCAGGCCACTCAGGGCCCCAATTCTGTCCAGCCTGACACCAAAACAGCCCCTGGGGAGGCCCTTCTTGCTTCTGCCTCGGTATCTGCGGGACAAACTCAGGAGGTCGCTGAGGAATCTCTGGATTGCACCTTCCCCCAGGGACACGCCCTGGGGCTGCTCCATCCTGTCCTGGGGCCACTGGACTTCAGGGTCTTCCTGGTCAAAGACACCTCCTGGGATCAGCTCGTCTTGCTCATGGCCCCTCTCTTCTGAGACCAGGGGATGCTCCAGATCTTCATCCAACAGTTTGGAGAGACTCTGGAAAAAGGGAAGGGTAGGAGGTGGAGACGGAGGAGAAGGAAGGGTTCTGGAAACTCTCATTGTTTTCATATAAGCCATGTTCAGCACTAAGTTTGAGGACATTTATTTTTAACATTCATCAAAGCATGAAAGTACTGAAGTGGTTTCTGAAGCTGATGATGGTTATCTTTAGTTTCTTCTGGCTCACAAAGCTTCTCTGAGCTAACTCTGAATGCTCTCTCAAGGTGCTTTCAGGTTATATGCTCTCGGTGAATCCTAAAGTTCTGAGCAGGCAGACTGCCAGTTAACCCCTTCCTGGACCTCTGGTATGGGATAAACTGTGAAAAATGATGAAAGAGCCTTGGTCAAGTGAATAAGGAACAAGAAAAAAATAGTCAATATGTTGGAATAATAAAAGAATCAATGCAATAACACTCTGGAATTGGTCCTGAAGGATTATATTAAATATTTCTTTACAGACTGGGAGGTCACTTCATATTTGGCAATACCAGATCCCTAATCCAGTAGCTGAAATGTGTTTTCCTGCTGACTTGAAATTGCTACACACACAAATACACACAGGCACACATACACACTTCTCCTTTTTCTTATGTTCTACTTCTGAGACTCCCAAGCTGCACCACTGAGCTGAGGAGGAGATCCTGCAGGTACAACCCCTTAATTCCTCTTTCAGCCAAAACCAGGGAATTCAGGGAGGAGCATGCAGGTGACTGCTCTAGGGCTCGAGATCACAGTCCTTTCAAGATGATTCCTTTTTACTCCCAAAGTTCATTGTTTTACTCAGTCACAGGGTAACCCCACATCTCCAATCCCCAAACTCACCCCACAAGAAAAAAAAAGCAAAACATTTTCCTTTCAACTGCCTCGTGTGATCAGAAACTTAAATCCAGTAATCAATGACTTGAGTTTCCCCTGTTTAATATCTCTGTGTCTGCCCACCTCAGGGTTCCTGCTGTCAATTCTCCTGCTGAGGTTGGAAGAAACAGAGCTCATCTGAAGTGTCTAATTCCTAAAGAACCATCAGCTTCTCTCTGCTCTGTTGAGCAGCCAGTCACTTACCTGTAAGCTGGAAATGGACCTGGCCCCTGCCTGGTTTTGACTGACAATGAGCAGTAGAAGGAATCCAGGGCAAAAAAGAAATTTCAGGTTCATGTTCTTGTTTTAGTGTCTCTGATTCCTCCTTCCCTCGAGTCTCTCCAGCTCAGTGTTGCTCTGTGTCTCCAGCTATCAGCATTTATATCTTCCTCCAATCCCTCCCAAGGCCACCTTTTGAGTTCCTGCTAGTGCCAGGATTGGTTTGAGGTTCTGACCTGTTTTCATCCTCCCAGGAGGAGGAGGAGGAGAGAGGAAATAATTCTGAATGAAAGGAGCATTTTACACTTGGGCAATGTAGCATCATTCTGTTGCTGTGCATCTGGAGGGCTCTGCAAGCTGCTGTCCTGTGCCACTTCTGTTTGTTAGTGTGCTCAGCTCAGTGTTCCTCAGGCTCACTGCTAAACCTTTCCTTTTCATCCAGAGAAAAATAATTGTGAGAGACATAAAGTGGGACAGGAAGGGAATTGTACCCACTACACCTTCACTGGGCTCCTGTGACACACCCAGCCAGAGGGATGGGGATCTCAGAAAACATGCTGTGTAAGAACTCAGTGGTATTATATAATAATATGAGATTATAATAAAACAACATAACATATAATCTGATGTTATTGATTTATGAGCTGAAAAAGTGTGATTTGGAGAAGAAGGGAAATCAAAGTCTTTAAAACATAACAAGTTGCATTAGTTACTTGCCTGAGTGACATGAGTGTGGCTGAAACAAGGCTGGCATGCACAGAAAGCTTCTACAAGGTTTAAATTGAGAAAGAAATTCCTCTTTCCCTGGATCCAGCTTAAAATATTTCCTTTATGTATTCTTTCTCAGTCTGTTAGACACAATTTGTATTAAATCTGAAATTAGTCTGAAAGGAAGCAGAGGCTTGAAATTTGGCCCCACTGAGAAACTGAAATGTTCCTGAGTGTGCAGTGATATATCTTGACCTTTTGTGGTATTTCTGCACACATGTGATGCTCAAAGTTAAAGGCCATTGAACTGGATCTGTATGGAGGAAATGGAAATTAAGGATCATCTGGCATTTTTCATCTGATATTTGAGTTACTGAAACCTTGGAAGCCAGTTCTCAGTACCAACTTGTTGGTCCTGAAGTCTTGGAAAAAATAATTCTGTGATGTGCCAGTGGGTTTATGATTTTCAATGTTTTTTTCATGTGCAGATCAGTTTGAAACATAGTTGTTGAGTGTCTCTTGAAATGGGTATTGTAAAGAGATGGCCTATAAACATCCCTCTGTGACAGAGAGGGAGGTCTGATGTTATTGTATTTTTGGCATTTTTTTGTTGTTGATGTTGATTAAAGCCACATTTTATATGAGTCTTAGAAAATGAAATCATCATTTCAGAGGTCTGAGGTGTGTACTTTGCAGTGTGACAAGACAGTGAGAGAAGGTCAGGGCAGTTTCAGGGTTGTCTCTTCTCCTCTGCAAAAGCACAGGGTTGTTTTGGTGGTTTGATTGGCCTTTCACAAGTCTGCACAGATGTAGATATTAAATCTTCTTGACCTCAAGATCTCTGAATTTGTCTTGAGGTACTGCTGAATTCTGTGTGGTTGCTGTTGGACATACATCCACCAGCACAGTCCTCACCTATGACTATGCTGGGAAAGTCAGAATAGCTAAGGTTGGAAAGGACTTTCAGAGGTCTGTGGTGCAATCCTGTGCTAAAAGCAGAGCCAGCTTAGATGAAGTTTCTCAGTGCCTTGTCAAGTTGAATTTTGAGAATCTTAAAGAAACAACGATTTCCTAATATTTACTTGGAATTTTCCCTGTTGCAATGGGTGCCATTGCCTCCCCTCCTAATGCACTGCAGCTGGATGTTGTCTGTGAGCACAACAAAAGGGTTTTCCATCTCCCAGCCAGTGACCCTCCATGGGAGTGCATTTGAGAGGGTGCTGCATAACCCAGACAAGGAGGGCAGCTTCACTCCAGGTAGTCAACACCTGGGTTCAGATCAGGTTTGGTGCCATGGCAAGAAGGAGTTGGGAAGAGAAAACATCTCTGCTTTACTCTCTGGGTCCTCTCAGGATTTCAAAACTTGCCATCAGGGTGGTGCAGTTAAGATGGAGACTTCAGCACAAATTTCAGTCTATAAAGAAGGGAGGAATGCCTGAGGACAGCAGAAAATTTCTGAGAGGCAGGAAACAAGTTTGTGCCCCTTCCTAAAGTGGTTTGGGTATTCCTTTTTATGGTAAATCCTCCATAAGGGGTGGAAGGAAGTATCAAGAAGGCAGCAGGTTGGTGTGTGTTGCTCATCTCCAACAGTAAATTGTTTCCCAGCTTACTGAGATACTTCTCCTGTACAGGCAGAGATCTGATTGAAAGAGTGAGGTCAGAACAAACTCTCCCTCTGGGGATGTATCTGCCTCATCTCTCCAGGCTGCTGTGAGGAAGGTGAGCTCTGGAGCTGATGGTGCATGGCCTGCTTAGACAGGTATCTTTAGAGCACTGCTGCAGCAACTCATCCTCCTCCTTCCCAGCTCAGGGACCCCTTCAGCCTCCCTCTCCTTCCCAGCTGCTCAGGCCAACATTCCCTGGCTCACTGCAGCCAGCTGAAAGGGCAGGGACGTGTTTGTAGAACTTCCCTCACAGTGGGATGGCCAAGTCCGTGATGGAAGCCGGCACCAGGGGCCCCTCATTAGCAGACATTAACATTTAACTGTGGTCTCCAAGCATTTGCCTCAATGTCTCCCTCCCTTGCCTCTCTCCCAAGTGGTCTGGAGCTGAGCTGGGCAAGGCTCAGTGCACAGCAGCATCCCAAGCCAAGCTTGGTGGGAATTGCTGGGCTGCAGGAGCTCTGTTTTTTCTCAGACAGGAGATCCTGCAGCAGGAGGGGGCACGGGGGGATCTCCACAGAGAAGAGACTGAGCACAGACACTGAGCTCACTAATTAGTGCCCACTGATCAATTTGATGGGCTGAAGAGGGGCTGTTTTTCTCTGTAGCCCTGTGGGACAAGAAGGGGCCAAGACCACCTGAGGACAAGGAGGGCAGCAGGTTGGCATTTAGTAACGGGCTGTAGGTGGTTTTGGGGCATTGGGTTTTGATGGCATAATTTTAATATTAAGTTTGTTAGGCACATTTATCACATTCTTCTGGTAGTAATGAAGCCCAGCAGGAAAGCAGCAGTGAGGGAGGGGAGACCCAGTAAAGCAGATCCTGGAACAAATGGGAAACAAGCTGAGGAGTTCAGAGCAACGGTTCGAGAGTTCCAGTCAGTGCCTGGTGAGAGGCAGAGGCTTAAAGAAGAGCTCATGTTCCATAAATCCTTACCTGAAACTCTATTTTTGGCTAAGCTTCACCTCTATCAAGATGAACAGCACCTTGCTTCCCAGTTGTTTTGGAAAGGTGGGAATGTCTACATGGTCAGGTTGTGGGTATTCACAGTGCAGCTGAAAACATCAATTAGCTGTGCATGGTTTCAAACCATGGAGGTCTTTATAGTCCTGTGGCAGCCAGTCTGCTCCCCCATAACCTTTAAGTGGGGGCTCAGGAATTCTTAGGCTGATCCTGCCCTAAACTGTTCAGAATCTGGGTCTTTTATTCTCTGTGTTTGGTGTTTGGACTGAGATCTAATTGGTCTACATATTACTGCCTTATTACAGAAATGCTGGACTTTCAGAGGGAGCAGGCTGGGCCTCAGCTGAAGGAACTGTTTGTGAAGCACACAACTAATGGGCAGCTGCAAGCAGAAAGGCTGCAGTGTCAGTCTGCAGATCACAGCCTCTGACAGGGGACAGAAAGAGAACCGTTCATGGCCAGCATGGACGTGACATATCCCCAGGTGTTTTGAGCTGAGAGACGTTTCCCCAGCAAAACTAGAAGGTCACTCCTGTGAGATCCCACCTGGCCTTTCTCTTCGTTATTGAGGTGTGTGGGGACCTCTCCTGGTGAGTGCAGAACGTGCCTCCGAGTTCGGTCGGAGCAAATTCTGCTTCAAGGAGAGAAAACGGATCAGACACGGAGGTTTTGATAAAACAAACACTTCAGAATCAAGGACATGGTACAGGCAGTGTGAGAAGGGTCTGAGTGGCTCTTTTGCAGGGATTAGGCTCTAGTAGCCACAGGAGTGTGTGTGTGAGTGGTTGTGTCTTGGGAAGGCACCTGGTATGTGTGTGATAGATGAATGCTTGTGCTTCATATTCAAAAGTTTGAGTGTCACATGCTCTGGTGGGTGGCTAAGTTTAGTTCCAGCACTAGATGTGTTGATCTGGACTCTTACAGTGGATTTTGCAGAATGTTAAGTTTCTGTAAGAAGGGATGGGAGCAGGGAGGTCATTTCTTAAGCATTTGGTCTGGGGTAACATCTGCCAGGTTTTTCTTTGTGACCCAGCTCACCCTGGCATAGCTGGGAGCAGTGTCACCAGGGCACATTGATCAAGGCTTGCTGGCCAAGCAGCCAAATCAAGGGGCAAGAGGTCACACTCTCCCATTGTGCTATTTATTGCTGCATGCCTTTGGTGAGTGTGCAGAGTGCAGGAGGAGAAGCCATTTCTAGAAATGGCCAGACAGCTACAGCAATGAAATGGCACCTGTCCGAGAAGTTGCCGTGGTTGTTTACTTCCCCTCTCCTAATGGGCTGGTGATAAACCTAAAAATAGCCTGGCTAACTAAAAATGTGATCATTACATAAAGCCTGTCACCCACAAAAACACCCTGTAGGTTTTGTTCAGCCTGTGAGAGTGGTACTGGGCATAACCTCAATTTTGTGTTCCCAGAGCAGGATCCCAACTGTCCACTGGTTTTGACACGTCTCAGACATGTGGACTTGGTCTGACCAGAGAGTTGTGTAGGTCGGTCCCTGTGTTTTGAGAACAGGGATGTAAACTATCCTGATTTTTGTTTGGGATTCATGTGTGTATTGTTTTTCTTCCTGCCAACATTTACAGTCTTTTTCAACTGTGCTACTCACCAGTTCAGGCACAACTGCACACTTGCATTGTGATTAGAAGGCAAATCCTTCATGTCAGGTTGGTTGTGCCAGGGAGGCCATCCTGGAATTCCACAGTGGATGCACATTAGGCTGTGTGTGAACAGGAGAGCTCCTTCCAGCCTCAGGAGGCTGAGCTGCAGTGGTAGGAATGCAGCC